CTCGCCAGGAAGAGGCCAGTGCAGCCCCTGGCCCTGAGCCCACAGTGGGCAGCCCACCCTTGCCCCATGCACATATCCAGGGGGGCACATGCCTCCCATAGGGGTGCATGCAGCAACAGAGGATCACCCACCCCTTCCATGCCCCCTCCCCCATCTCCTACACCCCCTGGATGAGCCACCCACAACTCTGCCTCACCCCCAGGGGGGTCACATTCAGTGCCTCCCCTGCCCCTCCCCCACTCCCTCCCTCACTCACTGGGGGGGGGGCCTCAATCTACATCCCCTCCATCCCTTCCCCATCAGACATACCAGCCAGATGCTACTCTCTACACCACCGAGCTGCACTCCTGGCCACGTGCATGTTGCGACTGTGTGTATGCACACAGCATTTATCGGTGACATTATCAGCTACGCCAGCCAAAAAAAAGCCAATTGCCGATGATGTTAATTTTCCTTTTATCAGTGCCAATCTGATATGGACCAATATATCAGTGCACCTCTAACTAGAAGCTTTACTCATATGCCAGGGACCTAAACCTGTATTATTCAGTTTAAGATTGATCCAAGGATAGCTTGACTGGTGGACCATCAAGACCATTAAAAAGAAGAGAGGGTCATTATCACCTATGGAATAAACAGTTTAGAAGGGATCAGGTGGATTATAATGACCCATGAAGTCAAGTTGCTCCCCCAGTACAGTCGGACTAGAAATACTGCTGCCACTCCCAGGCAGTTCGTTTTAAGTTTTGGGTGGAAAAGGAATCAAAGAGGGGTGCAAGTGTACCAGTGCATCCTCTCTCTCCTTGGATCTACCCCTGGATATAAGCTAAGTGGGTTGGGAGACCAATCCACCCCTCCTATGGAGATTGGGTCATAGTACACAAAGGGTGCTTAGCCCATCTTAGCCCATTTAGTTATCACCAAAAAAACCCACAGTACAGAAAGGATTCACAGAACCAGGGATCGAGACCATAGCTGTGTAACACAGAGCAGGACACTCAGGTGGGAGAGGGTCTGTCTGGAGTTATAGTTCCTGCTCCCAGATCTGTCTATTCATTTTATACACACACATATATTATAACTTCATTGGATTAAGAAAGATAATCCTTGCCCACTAAAAAGTTGATTTGTCTCAAAAAAACATTTTTGTACAGTGTCACTGGATCTCATAATTCCCAAGCACAGGATCACCTAGGAAAAAATTAGAACTGGCTATATCAAGTACTTCATAATGCCTCTGATCCCAATCTAAACTTTCTTGTTCAATGGTAAAATTAAGAGGGACGCAACTCAGAGAACCTGAGCTAGCTTCTCCACCACCCTCATAAGAATAGTTTCTGCAGCATCACAAAAAGCTAATTTATATCCAATTCATAACTCATACTAATAAATCTGGGAAATGAGACAAAAATTACACTGTGTAACCAGGTGTTTGGTGTGCTGAATAGGAATGAAACACTTTACCATAAAAGAAATTAAGGCAACAGTTGTGCACATCTTTGTTGCTGTTGTGCTATTCTGTTATCAAAGCACACAGTTGGAGGGAGCACAACCTATCTTCTTAAAATTATGCTGATATTAGTGACACCATTGTATTTATCAGAACTATAAAATAAAGAAAGAAGTCACTTAGGGCTTCCACTCCGGTAAAATAAAAAGGTCCATATTTGCTAAGCTGAAAGACATCAAAACTAACAAGTTCTGAGCTTTCAAAATGGAGAATATTAAAACTTTAAAAGATACCTCAACACTATTCCCATAATAATTTATGCTAATAAAATAAATGATATTGTAAGATCAAAAAGAAAGTCCAAGAATAGTTGCACTTTAACACACCTCTCCCTAACAACAGTTCACCGGCTTAATAAGATAACTGCATATAGGATACTGAAACACTGAAGTGACCATTAACTTGCTCTGGTCAATACGAATGTAAGAAAAAGCAGTGCACAAATATTTTAGCAGGTTAAAGTTTCAATAAGTTTGTTGGTTCAGAAGAATATTGGCAGTGACTTTCAAGTGAGATCCAAATAGCAAAATAGCAGCATACCTTCAGTCATCAAGTGCAAATACTAAGTTCAGTTTAGTCTGCTGTACAGAATTAGTTTTGGAAATATCTAAAATAATGAAAGGTGTAAAGAAGAGCCATCTGGCACTTGTACTGATGCTTTCAGAAGAATGAGGGAACATGCCAAGCAAGGCAGCAAACTGAAAACAGAATAAAGGGTTTTTATTTCTTTATGCCATGGGCTATAATTAACCTATGCCACTGACTGACTCAATATACCTTGGATGCCAAGAGCTTAGAATTCAGAGAAGGATTAGATATTTGTACAGACAGCACCCTTAGTTAACTTATCCAGGAAAAACAATTTTCTAAAGGATAAACCTGAAAGCATGAAAGTGTAGTCAGCCACTCATTACCAGGGCATGTTATTCTAAACCTGGTTATTCCAAACCAGGGGGTCTCTTTCCTCTGAAAGATTTGATATTGGTCACCACTGGACCACGTGCCAAGTAAGACGCCAGCACGCACCACAGCAGAGGTCTAATTATATTCCAGGCAAAAAGAGTTTAATCCCAAAATGTAGCATCAAATATGGCAATATTAATCAGAATCAAAGAGTTAGAAGGGACTGTGAGGGTAATCTGACCCCTGCACAGCTGCAGGGTGCCCTGCTCATGGACCAACCCAAATTGCTGAACAAGCCCACCCAATTTCTTTTCAAAATCTTCCAGTAAAAGGGATGCCACAACTTCCCTGGGCAGCTTGTT